TCAAACGACGATATCGAATCGATAAAGGGCAGGACCACAGACGCTGTATCACAGCATTGATACCATTGCTATATTGTGTCGCGCAAAAATCCTCAGGGCTTAAATTTCAACATCTATAATTTTACAAAGAAAGAAAGAAAGAACTCAAAGCTTTGTGAAAACTAATATTCTTCCCTGTGCTAACGTTTGCATATTATTATACACATAAAAATTTTTTTTAGTTTGCGATCATTTTGAAATATTGAAATCTTTTTTTTACGGTAGACCATATTATAATTTCTTCTTCTTTTTAGATAATTTACTAAAAATATGGAATCAGAATATAAAAAAGTAAAACAAATTCAATTGTTTTTGCATATGAAAAGAAATTCAATCCAAGCTTACCAGGTGCGCGAAATTGACGAAAGGTATGGTGGGGCGAACGATCAAGGGGACTCTATTGGCGTGGTAGCACTCAGACCATTCTGAGTTGCTTAAACTATGATTCTGACCACAGAGGTCTTGGCGAGCCCCTCCGAATTTACGGCTCGTCTGATTTAAACCCTAAGAGCAAGCGTGGGAAGCTCTTAGCGAGCTGTTAGGAACAGTCAACCACCTCAGCAGACAGTGCAAGAGACAAAGAAGCCGCTTTTAATGAATGGGATAGTTTATCGCAAAAATGCTGGATTACTTGATCCTCAGAATAACCAGGAGGTTCTACGTATGTGTTCGAGCCAGGGGAGGAGTTATATTATATTGAATAAAAACTTTCTGTTTATAAATTGTTGTATAGGTTTGGTTAATCAATCGTTTTCTTCCTATCAAATTTATTTTTCATTTCATTGGGATTGGATTACTCAATTTTTGTTATTAATAAATAATTTTTTAAGCTATTGCATAGCTTCTATCGCGGGCCTTGAGTGCGGGAAAATCCAGAAATTTCGTAACGAAAAAAACCTCACGCTCTCCGACGGGCACGGAGGTGTGGCTTGAAGGCCGTGCATTGTCTAACGATGGTCTAACGTCGTTTCTTTTCCTCAGTCTTCGACACGGTGTTTGTGTATTAAGTGTTTTGAAATTTTGAAAATGAATGAACAAAGTGCATTTATTATTAAGGCTGCTCTCTCGCAAAAAGCTTGAAAAAATCGTGCAGATGAACCAACTTTTCGTCGACACTTAAAGAGAAATTACATATGAAAAAAATAGCTAGTAATCTACATGATCTGATACGTAATTTGGTTTAGCCATAATTTTTCTATCGGTGTCACATAATAAATAAAAAAATACCCAAATCGCCTCCAAATCGTTAAGATGAAACCACTTTACTCCTTCATTGTTTATCAAAGGAATATAAAAAAATATCTAGTGCTTTGCAATACAAAATAAAATAATTTGGTTTGGTTACTTTTTAGAAATATGTATTATTTTTATGATAATAAATTAAAAATGCGTCCCGATTAAATACTGCTTCTATATCACCCCCCGCATTCGTCCACGAATTCAGTGCGGGGCGCATCGTGTTGCTAGGTGGACGTACGCCGCGTTGCGAGAGCTCAGCACTACGAAATAAAATCGTAAAATATTACTGCAAAAATTTAATTTTGTTAATAGTGGAGTAGATTTTTTCTGATTCTTTTTTAATAGTAGTGTTTTATAGTTATATTAATTGTACAGTTTTATTAATGTTTAAGTTTAGTTTATAAAACATGGGGAATAAGCAGAAACGATTGAAGAGAGGTCAAAAAAATATTACAAACAAAAGGGTATACATTTATCAAGGTAAGTTTTAAGTTTTATCTACATATTTCATAATATTAGACAGGTGCTGTTTATAAAATACCTATATTACTGTGATTTCGCCACTCTGTGACGAGACAAAGCGCGGCAAACGCAAGTGGCGGCAAGGCGCGGGCCGCGTCGTCGCATGTTGGTAGCGCATGTCTGAGAAATTAAAAAAAATATATATTTCGAAGAAATGTGAAGTTCGTCAACACGCATTGAGGCAGCGTGGCGGACATTTCTTTGCCTTAAAACCCCTTCAGAAATTAGAGGAGGCCTGTGCCCAGCAGTGGGATGTATATAGGCTGTAACTTTACTTTTTTTTACTCGTACTTTTATAAATATGTTATTTTACCGACGAAAATTTTAAAGAAAAATAAAAAATAAGCAACCGACAACCTCCTAGGTCCCTAGGTGACTTGCGAGATGTCAGTGTAACAAAACAAAATGGCCCAGAAAAACAGACTTTCCAACTGATAGCTAAATCAGCACGCAACAATTTCATTGGTGCCAGTGGGGATCGAACCCGGGTTGCTCCCGTACTGTGATACTTATAACGAGCGCTAATCATGTGATCTACCACAGCTCTCAACGACATGGTTCCGTTCGTGTACAGCGCTGAAGATAGCAGAGTAAAAAATTAGAGATTGTGGTGTTTGAAATTTGTCATCTGTGAGAGTGAATTTTATCTGTGTACTCTGTAACAAATAACTATATAGAAAAAAATCTGAAAATGATATTTCGCCATTTTTATTTGTTTACTAGTTAGGAACTCGATCAAAAATTTGATAATTTTTCTGTTTTTATACGTTATTTCTAATGTTATTTTACATCAAATTAATTGTGAAGATATTTTCTTTAGGAAATATGTTTCATTACGACGATTCAAAAACGTTTACATATAATAATTTACCTCGAAATTCACTATACGCGATTATCGTTTATTGATTATATTATGTTGTTTAAAAAGTATTCCTATCAGCTTTGTGTTAAATGGATGCTAAATATAAAAGAATGCTTCAATATTGATAGCGATTTATTAACGAAATATCTGTTGAGATGTGTCTAGAAATTATTAATACTTATTTTTATTTATTTATTAAAATAATAAATAAATAAAAATAAGTATACATTTATCTATATCGAGTACTAGTTTTTCCCCGCGATCTCGCCCGCGTGGAATATGGATTTCATGGGTTTTAATTTTTTTTGCCCGGAACCCTAATTCTTTTTCTAAAACAAAAGTAGTTCAAGTTATTCCTTATATCATCAGCTATCTGCCAGTGAAAGTCCCGTCAAAATAGATCCAGCTGTTTCGGAGATTAGCTGGAACAAACAGACAGACAGACAGACCGACAGACAGACAAAAATAGTACTTTCATATGCATTTAATAAAAAGCTGTTATTTTAACATTACAAACAGACACTTCAATTTTATTTATTTGTAGATATAGATATAAGATATTATTCATATTGGTGTCATTTTAAAGGGAATATCATGTACTATTATAATAATAAAATAATTGTCTCCAGTAAATATTATACTTTTCTTGTAAAACTCGAAATAAGTAACAAATAATTACGATTTATTTTTATATTCCCATATGCTTTATTTTCATCCTTTATTTTTTATTTGACCAATTTTCTTTTAACAAAATTAAATTCTGAATTCGCTGAGCTTTTTGAGAATATTGAATAACCAACATGTATTGGAAGATATTAAAAATATCAGTTTTTGCAAGTGATCAAACTATATACACACTTCAAAAACTTTTTTTGATGTCTGTATTGGTCCTTCGCTATATGAATAGTATTGAATGGAAAATTTATTTTAAAAATATATCCTTTTAAAGAACTTAATTTATAACTTCATTCATTTACATGGTAGAGCTATGCTGTAGCTACTCGTATATTATAGATGTAGCACGACCTCACAGACTACCGGCTTAAAATAGCAACCAAATGTTTGATATGACAAGGCATTGAAATTTAGTCCTCAGCGGTAACAACGCATCTGCTTTTTGATTCTTAGTCGAGGATATATGTAGATGTCTATTGGCCACAGCATCCATTTACCATCAGGTGGACTGTGTGCTCGTTTATCATCCTTCCTATAAAAAATTTCTCCATGAGTGCTGTTATGTACTCGAAGCTTTGGGAATATAAAATAAATAAAACGCGTTAAAATCCGTAAAAACTAGCTTCAGTTACTCGTTAATATTATAATGCATTTGTAATACAAAAATATAAATTGGATACAAAATTCTGTTAGCAAGATAATATTGAATAAAGACACATTATATATAACTTACTATATTCAGTTTTATGGCAGCTTTAAGTACTCTTTCTTAAGTACTTCACTATCTTCAATAATTTTCCTTTGTGCTATATTTTGCAATATATTGAGAACTCAAAGAAAACTAATGACGTACTTGTAGACTCTCGAACAAGATGAAACACTAATGAACACCAAGAAAATAAAATGTTAATAGAGCTATAATGACACATAACACATATCATCACAGATATACATCACGAGGCGTCTCCTTGTCAGTCTATTGGATGAATTACGTTGGTAATAAATACAATTTTCTTATAATTTTTTTGAAGTTGACTTGCGTGATGGAGTTTACAGGATATTTTTTATAATCTTATCTTTTAGAATTTATAAGAATCAATGTTCAAGGAGCCGTGGTAGCTCAGATGGTTAGCGCTCGCTGTAAATTTCACAATACGCGAGCAAACCGGGTTCGATCCCCACCGGCACCAATGAAATTGTTAATTGCAATTTTAAGTGCTGATTCACCACGTGCTCGGCGGTGAAGGAATACATCGTGAGGAAACCTGCATGTCTGAGAAAAAAAAATTCGAAGATATGTGAAGTTCGCCAACACGCATCGGGGCGGCTTGGTCGACACTTCCTTGCCCTAATACCCTCTCAGAAATGAGAGGAGGCCTGTGCCTAGCAGTGGGACGTATATAGGCTGTAACTTTACTTTTTACTTTACAACGTTCAAGAAACAAAAGCTTAGAGTTTTGTCCTAACTTATAAAAGTTACTAAGGTGGTAAGCGCTCGACGTAAATTTCAGGAAATGCGAGCAACCCGGGTTGGATCTCCGTCGGTACCAAATGAAATTGTTAAATGCAATTTGAAATGACAATTCACCAAGTGCTTTATAGAAGAAAACGAGCACTCCATGGGTTAGGAATGTCTAATGGTATATTTTATATTTTCAATACAATGAAAAATTCGAGTTTATTGGATTGGAATCCAAAGTCTAGTTCCTTTGATGCTACTCCGAAAAATAATTTAACTATTGACCCAAAAATGGAACACTGTGATGATACAGGTTAAAGGTTGTGGATGCGAATAAAAAAATATAAAAAATTGAGTATGTGGCTGTGAAAGAGAGATGATTATATATTTGTGTCTTTTACTGTGTAATATCTACTCATAGTCATAATTATCGGTCCGTGAGTTCCACGTGTGGTGAAATTCGATCAAAGGCAGCAGCGAGGAAACGCAACAAGCTTTCTTGGTACTACACCGAGCAAAGTATGACTGTTGATGATTTAAGTTTTAGTTTTAAAAATTGAGTTTCGAGTATACCAAATTGAGTTTTGAGTATCCCAAATTGAGTTTCGGGTATCCCAAATTGAGTTTCGATTCGTAGTCATCGTACTCGTCCATTCCATGAATCGAATTTCAACTTTTTTGTCTTAAGTTTCTCCCCGAAATGTATAATTACAACCAATGTTGTACCAAGATGCATATTTAAGGCGAAAGTAAGTTGAAATTTACTGGATCGGTACGCTCCGTCTTCGGCGTTATTGTTAACAATAAATACTGAAGTTTGTTAACTATGAGAGCACTGAACGTCATTCCGACGAAAAGGTAAGTAAAAAACCGTTCTCCCCTACATCGATATACGTCACCGTAAATTTTATAACTACAAATGTAAGTTTGTAACCGTATGTTTTTTACGTAATAAAACTACTTATTAATTTTTCTTCACTTGTACTGTGAGACCTTGCTTCTTGAAAAATTTCGTGATTGTCAGTCAACGGGAAGTAGCTTAGAGGTTTTGATTTATTTGCAAATATCACAACGGGGCGCATAATAAATGGCCGTAGGTTTTTATTGCGTTGACTTAGAAGCTTGTTTTTTTAAGATCCGAGGAACTGTTAAAATTAAGGTTACAGTCTATATTCGTCCCACTGGTTAACACAGGTTCGCGTACTTTGAAATTTGCGTCCATTACTTAGCCCCTGGGCTACTGTGTCACTACGTCCTTAGGGCGGATTCGACCAAATTCAATGTTACTCCAGAGTAACTAACCCTCGAATAAATTTACTCCTTGTTCTTACTCTCGGATAATTTAGTTTGCGTTTTTCCAACACAAACGGAGAGTAGCCAATACTGGGTATTGTTACTCTAGAGTTGGGGAATGAAAAATGAATGAACTTGTAAGCCAACTAAAATTGAAATACATTTGTTTATATAGCGCAATGCAAGACTTTCTGTCTATTTAAAGTTTGCCGGATTATAATAGTGTCGACTGTCACTGTCACTGAACAAACATTATAATGGGTATGTTCCGAAATACAACACAGTACACTGTCGAATGCGAATGACGTCATTAATTGACGTCGTATTCCACCATATTCATCATCATCATCATCATCATTACAGCCCTTCACAAGTCCACTGCTGAACATAGGCCTCCCCCAAGTAATGCCACAAAGCACGGTCCTGAGCCACCTGCATCCATCGACTTCCTGCATGTCTTACCAGGTCGTCACTCCATCTAGTGGGGGGTCGCCCTACACTACGCCTACCGGTACGAGGCTGCCACTCGAGAACCTTTCTTCCCCATCGGTTATCGGTTCTTCGAGCTATATGGCCGGCCCATTGCCACTTCAGCTTACTAATCCGTTGGGCTATGTCGGTCACTCTGATATATCGATACAACTTAATTGATGATTACCAATATGGTGTCGATATATGACGTCATTCGCATTCGACAGTGTACTGTGTTGTATTTCGGAACATACCCTATTAACACGCGACTTGTCAGTTGATTATTCTAACCTTACCCTTATTTCTTATATTTTCAAATAAAATGTCTGGAGAAAAAAGAAAACGTAGCCCAAATTGGTTACCTTCGGAAAAGAGTTTGTTGTTGGGACTCGTAGAAAAACATTTTCGTGTCATCGAAAATAAAAAAAACAGATGGTGTTACGATGAAGCAAAAATTAGCCGAATGGCAAATTTTATCCCATGAATACAATAGCCAAACGACACACTGCTCGCGTACAGCAGAAAATTTAAAAAATGAGTGGGAGTATATGAAAAAAAGGCCAAAAAGGAGGAGTCATACAGGAGGATGCATAGAATCCAAACAGGTTAGTTTTTATCCTGCCTTACCTTATCAATGTTTGTGTTGATCCAATTATTTAGGCTAAAAACCTAAAAATCTTTGGTATACATAAGAAATATGGACAGGAGTAACTATGAGCTTATAACTGGAGGAGCAGCGGACTGAGATATGCCTGCATACATTTATATAGTGTTAGCCACTACTACATGCTTATCCCAAAGATCTTTAGGTGTTCAATGTACCATTATTATTAAGCTCTTGATAGTACAATGCTGCGGTCTGATTTAGTGATTTTCCTTCGTCTCCTACATAATGGGATTATTATTTATATTAGAAATATTTTGAAAATGTGAGAAATGGCATACTTTAAATACTTTTACTTTAATAATTTTGTCTATTTTAGGTGGTGGAACAACAAATCCAAAGAAAGAGGATCCTCTAGATTCCAAAATCATATCATTAATTAAAACAAGTGCTGTTGGGCTTTTCAACCATTTGACAGTGACAGTGTTGCCCCAGATAGCTTAGAAAGGCATAATTTTGCTGAGGTTCAAGTTATTTTGCCTGAGGAGCCAGAATTATGTAATAAAGGTTAGTATCTTACAGCTTAGTCAAGGACCCTAGAGAAACCATACAAAATTGTTATACCTTTAAAATTTGGTTACAGATCTTGAGACTGAACTTAATGAAATCCAAAAGACTGGGATCGACTCAAACGAAGTATTAATGCAGGTAAATTAGTTTCTGTAGCTCTATACGTTATACACCTGAAGCAACCCATAATATATAGTAAATATATGCTATGTTTTGTTATAATTTGCTAAACATAAGTATCTTGACTCCTATACAATAAATAGTTCGGAGTAGGAATAGCCAAATCTGTCATTTTCAGACTCAAACTTTTTATTGCGTTTATGTGGTTACATAAATAGTTCTTATGTTGGATATATTAAACCAAACATGAGCCCTGATAGAGCGTAGCAATATTATATATATATATATATATATATATATATATATATATATATATATATATATATATATATATATATATATATATATATATAGTTCTTATGTTGGATATATTAAACCAAACATGAGCCCTGATAGAGCGTAGCAATATTATATTATATTATGTTATATATCAATTTAATCTAATTAATTTAAAAAGATGAATTTTATTTTATTTACTTAAACTAAACATTACTTTTAGGTTTATTAAACATTTGCAATATTTACAACGATATTAAAGAGGTATACATATTCAAATTAAACAATTATTATTTTTCACCGGAAAAACTCTGACAACGAATAGAAACTTTTTTTCAATTAAATATTTTTAAGCTCTCTTTGAAATTTATACAACGATTCTTCTTTTTGTAGACATTTGGGAATTTTATTATAAATTTTTACACACATACCATGGGGTCCTGATTTAACTGTTTGTAATTTTGTGATAGGTGGAGCTAATTTTTTAATAGGATTGAAAAAAATGAGGCCGGGTGTATATTGAAAAAATGTGCATATTCTTTTTAACAAATGTGCATACTTTTATATATCTTCTATTCTTGCCATGCTGCAACTTGCCCTGTCAAATAAAGAAGGCCAGACTTGCCTATAATTTGTGTTCCAACATTGTAGTAGACTTGTTTTTAATTTTATCATTTAAATGTTTTTTGTGAGATGAAATATATGGGCATTATGTTGTTAAAATTTTTAATATAAATCTTTGTTTTAGGATTGGAGTGATTATACTCCCGAAATGTTAAGAATTCCTGTTACAAAACCTCTTCAGTATGACAATAATGAGCAAGAAGGAAAACTACAAAAATCTTGGGTTTCAAGAAGGTACCTACATATGTAGCTCCTTCATCATCATTGCAGAAATGGCATGATAAGAAAATGGAAGCAATTGATTTTCAGAAAAATGTTGCTGAGAAGGAACTACTTCATTCAAATGAAGTTCACAATCTGGATTTACAAATAAAAGGGGAACAATTAAAACAAGAAAAATTAAAGACCCGTAATTTATTATTAGATTTAAGATTAAAGAAAAAACAATTCAACAATAAAATATTAAATTTATTTATTATTTCAACGTTTTATTTTATACCTTTTTTTTTGTAAATTTGGATTAATAAAATTAAGAATCACTGCAATCTACATTCCATAACTACAATATACTATAAAAATAATTACTTATTAACGAATTGCGTGCTAAATGGCCAGTAGATTGCTGTGCTGATTCCAAGCTTTGCATTTGGCCAAGTTGTACAAGTTCATCCCATGGAGCTGGCAATAGCACTTCTGGGTCATCAGGTGGAAGTTGTTCTCCTCGTCTGCGCAACATGTTGTGAAGTACTGCTGTGGCTATGATAACAGTTAGTGCTTTATTTAATTTTACTCGCATCTCAAGTGCCAACACTGGAAATCTTCTTTTCCACACACCTTTCTATAGGATTTTCGGTACGAATTTGTGACTCATTGTAGTTGTTCAGCTGGTGTCCTTGGATTTTCTAATGTTGTCATAGTGTAACTTTTTGCAACATATCCTCTGTCCACCAATAATAATGCATTACCATAGCGACCAGTCTCAAAATGTGCTTTTCGAACGCTATTATTAAATATAGTGCTGTCATGAGTTCAACCTGGCCATCTTGCGACTATGTCGGTTATTTCTATATTAGCATATATTGTTTGCACATTAATGGAGTAGTATCCTTTTCTGTTTCTAAATGTCTCTGCTTGGTCTACACCTATTTCCAGTCTTAAGAGTACGAATGTGAGGCGAACGTGTGTACAGTCCATGGCTCCAACTACTCTTGGAAAACGAGCTATTTGGTAAAATGTATCGTGTTCATATCTTATTTCCTGAGGCGATTCAGGAAATTTTATGTATTCTGTATGTAATGCAGCTATTGCAGCACTAACTCTGTGTACAATTTTGTTTGCTGTCGGTGTACTTAGACCATAGTAGTCTCCAATGCTTGTTTGTGTCCAGTTTGTTGCATAATATCTCAAAGTGGCCAACAACTGATTTACTGGAGATATTGAAAATTTTCTGAAAGAAAAAGGAACTTTAGATAACATAGGTACTAACTACTACTACTGCTATTACTTACTATAATATTTTAGTTTTAAGTCTTTGAGCGACACACATAGCTTTTAGAAAAAATATATCTAGGTAGGTGTGTGTGTACCATTGTTTATGTAGACAAATATATAGTGAAGGGTGTAGGTACATACCGGTTTGATGTATATTCCAGTTGATGCTCGATTTTGGATAAAGGACACAAAGTACCTTCTTTGGACAATCGAAAACCTTATTACGAAGTCACGGTCATCATAGTTATCGATATAATTGTTCCTTTCTCTTATCCATTGTGGACACCTTGGAATGTATTCTTCATCACTGTCAGAATCTTCGATCATATTTCGTAATTGCATTATTTAAAAAAATAAACCCTACTATTATCACAAAAGCACAAGAAATTATAAATGCACAACGATAAAATTTCCTACTTTTACAACAAAGCATACGAAAACAGCTGTCTAAATGTAGCGGTCGCCATTAAAATACTCTGGGATAACTTGTTTATTCCATCAATTTTGGCAGTATAGCGATTTACTCTCGGATAGTCTGTTATACCCGGGTTGAGATTTGGTAAAACGAAAAGTTCTCTAACTCTAGAGTAATCAGTGCTTTTATTCGCAGGATAAGACTTATACTAACTTTGGTCGAATCCGCCCTAAGCGGATTTTAACTTGCTTATTTTCACATCTTTAACCTACATTAAAGTAAAATAAAATAAAAAATCCTTTAATTCCATACATTACAAAGATTTGAAATTATTATGCAACAATTCAGTTTAGATTACCTAAAGTAAATAATGACATAAATTAACATATTAATTAATTATTATTTACATGCATTTGTAACCATATATAAAAATATACGACATTTAGCTTTACTATTAGATTTTTAATGTAAATTTTTTTGCTTATATGTAATTTTTTTTTAATTTTTCTTAGTATATACAATTATATTTTATTTTAATAATTATTATTAATCAAATATCAAAATTAAAATTAAAATTAAAATCAAAATTGAAATTAAAATTATAATTTCGTACTTATACAATTCAATCAATAAAGTAATATTTAATGCTAGAATGATATAAATAATTATAAATAGCATGGACCCCTCTCAAGGCCTCCTCCAAGAATTTCCATTTTTCTCTGTTTTTTGCTAATTTTAACCAGTTTGTTCCTGCGATCTTCTTTATGTCATCCTCCCATCTCATGTAGGGTCTCCCTGCTTCCATGAGCTTACATTTATAATTTTATAGTCCACCTGTTGTTATCGTATCGGGCCATATGACCCGTCCATCCAAATTTTAGTGCTTGAGCGGTAAGGCAGCGCGTCTATTGCTTCAGTATAGTTTCGATTTTCGTGTATCGTATTTTCTGTATTTTCTTTATGTTTAACATGCTGCGTTCCATTCCTTTCTGGCATGAACTAATTTTGTTTTTAATTTTCTTCGTAATTTTCCACGTCTGGCAACCATACGTTAGAGAGGGCAGAATGCATGAGTCCATAGTTTTCTTTTTGAACTTTATCGACATGTTTTTACATGGTAGAGATATTAATTGTATAGTTGTAGCGTGAATGGGGCGGCTCGAACGGGGAAGGACCACGCTCTCACAGAATACCAGCGTAAAATAGTAGCTGCTGTGTTTCTTATGGTGAGTGTAGAGAAACGGAGACCCTTTTTACTGGAAACGAGGCATTCAATCTTAGTCCTCACGGGTGACAACGCATCTGCATTTGGATTTGTAATCGACGATAGATATATCTATCCTCGATTATATATAGATATATACAGATGTTTATGGGCCGCAGCAACCATTTACCATCAGGTGGACTGTGTGTTCGCTTGTCATCCTTTTCCTGTAAAAAAAAAATGTTGCTTTTAAATACTTCTTTTAGGCTCCAATATTATCTCCATTTCATTGCTGTTTGTTTTGAAACTTATTAGTTTTCCGAGATATCTTATATTCATTCACGTAGTTTAGCGGATTATTTTCTAACCTGATACACTTTTTGATGCTATTTGTCATGGAGTTCGTCTTTGACAGGTTCATCTCTAATCTCACCTGTCTGTTGCTTATATTGAGGGACTCTAACATATATTGCACATCACAGCTAGTTTCTGATAATAACACTATATTGTCTGCGTATCTTAGATGGCTTAAGTATTTGCCATTAATGTTCAGACTACATTTATTCCAGTCCAGTTTCCTTATGACGGTTTCCAGTACAGCTATAAAAAGATTTGGTGATAACTCTTAATATGTGTTTAACAATTTATTTGGTACAAGCGAGAATAGAAGAAATTGCTCGTGCACTATGAAATTTAAGTCCAATACATAGCTGGCCTTCACACGTAATTTAGCTTGCCAATTTTTCACATCTTTTAACCTACATTATATCAACATTATTCGATATCAAATAAAAATGTAACAAT